TTGCAAACGCGTTCTGGGTTTGCAACTTTGTTGCCTACGAAAATTGCACATTGTTGCACGACGGCCGGTTTTGCAACAATGTGCAATTTTCGGGAGATGCTTTCGGCAACAAAGTTGCAAACCGATAACGCGTTTGCAACATTGTGCAATTTTCGGGAGCGGTTCGCGACAACAAAGTTGCAAAAGGAGAGTTCGCGCTTGCAACTTTGTTTCCGGGAGTCGCACCCGAAAAAAAATACAAAGTTGCAAAACGCGCCGGTTTGCAACAATGTGCAATTTTCATGGGCAACATAGTTGCAAACAACCCAGAACACGTTTGCAACATTGTGCAATTTTCGGGAGCGATTTTCGGCAACAAAGTTGCAAGCACGATCTCTCCGTTATGCAACGTTGTTGCTGCGAATCGCTCCCGAAAATTGCACATTGTTGCAAACACGATCTGGGTTTGCAACTTTGTTGCCAAAAGTCGCTCCCGAAAATTGCACATTGTTGCAAAAAGGCGCGTCGTGCAACAATGTGCAAATTTTCGCGACAACAAAGTTGCAAACCCAGAACACGTTTGCAACAATGTGCAATTTTCGAGAGCGACTTTCGGCAACAAAGTTGCAAACCTGTAACGCGTTTGCAACAATGTGCAAGTTTCGGGAGCGACTTTCGGCAACAAAGTTGCAAAACCGATAACACGTTTGCCACAATGTGCGTTTGAATCTAATACGAGTTAACAATGTTACAAGTGAGAATGACGCTTGTAACAATGTTACATTCAAGCGTAGTGCTTGTCGTAATATTTGCGTTTGAAATAACGCTTCTAATAATGTTGCAATCAGAAATAGAGATTCCAACAATGTTTGCGTCCAAATATAACGCTTCAAGCAATGTTGCATTCAAAAGTAACGCTTGAAACAATGTTTTGCATTCGAAATAGTGCTTTCTTCGATGTTGCATTCGAGAATAGAGACTGCAACAACGTGTGCATTCAAGTTTGAAAGATGAACAGTGAAATAAAAGTATCTTGTTGCTTAAAAATCACCGTTCAACGATGTAGAAGTTATTATCTTGCTACTGCAACCGTGTCCCACACCTCGATCAATTTCCAACCTCAACTGACACAGGTACAAAGGCTCCGCGCAAACAAAAAGGACATTATACATTCTCAACATATTTCTCCACCCCTATAAATAACCCCTCTACATAGATCAATTGGCTCTCAAAGAATGAAGAGTAACTAATTTCTTTATTACGAGATTACTATGAAATTCTACGCTGAATCTATCTAAATTAAATTTTTCTCTATTCTCTATTATACTATACTTTTCTCTATCTCTATTAAATTTTTAAATATCAATACAATAATTTTTCCAATATCCAACATCGCTACTTCGATTCATTAAAATTCATATCTTACTCGAAAAAAGAAAGCGAAGCCTAAATAAAATCTAACCAAAGAAAATAAAATAAAAAGTAACCTAAAATCACCACTTTAGCTCAAAATTCATATCTTAGGCGAAAGAAGAAAACCACGCCTAAATGTAGGTAAATTATCATTTTCACTTCTAAATATAAGTCACAATTTAAGCTGTTTAGCACTATTACACACCTGTAAGAATATTGAAGAAAAAAAGTGATAGAATATTTTCACTCACCTCGAAGGATCTGGTACAGGAAGACCTTGATGTGGTCGGGGCTGAGATGCTGAGGGCTGACGATGATCTTGTGCAGATCGCTCTGCAGCAGCTCGGTGATCACGTATCTGTTCGTGGTCTCGTTAAGGAATATACGTAACATGAACGTAACAATCATCAAATGTTAAATGAAATTAAAGACTGAAACCAGTCCTCTCTCTCTTTCTCTCGATTATCAGCTGATTCTCTCACGACGTCGTTTACACGCTTGTCGATGCCCTCTAGATAAGCTTAACCAGACGAATATTAACTTCCCGTGTTCACCCGGTAAATAAAAGCAACACGATCGTACACCGAGCTAATCGCGAGAGTACACGCGCTAGAATCAATTCGAACGAGTCTCGAGTTCCGAGAGACCGGTTCACTCCCTTCGTTTACTCCTTCCTCCTTTGCGATCGAGGAAAAGGCTCGTTACACGAAGGAGAGATCGTTCGTTAGAACAGGGTTGTTAATGCGATGGGAAAAAGGTGAGAAAATGGTAGTTAAAAGGTGGAGCGAAATGGTAGATCGACGAGGGTAATTTCGAACGCGAAGAATACCGGACGGTTTAGCGTTCATTCCGTTTTAATCTCTCTGTCGTGATTGTTTCTGTCACTTTTCTACTTTTATTTATTTAAACATAGTCACTCATTTTGGAATCTTCCAATTTAACGCAAAACGAAGGAAAAGGGGTCGATCTTTTCCCTAAAAACTAAAATAGTGGGACGCTGGATCTATCGAAATTTAGCGTCCGCGAGGACGTTTTCCCTCCAAAAAAGAAGAAAAGGGAATCAATATTTTTCCTCTAAAAAAAAAAAGAAATAAAATCGCAGGAATGTTGGATCGACGGAAACTCAGCGCCCTTGAGGATCTCTCCCACCAAAAAGTAACAAACCCAATCAATATTTTTCCCGAAAAATAAAACAGACGCTAGATCAAGAGACGTCGATCTGAACGCAGCGTCCGCGGTAACGGAAACCTTGGCAATCAGGCTACTCTCGTTCTCGATCCGTCGGCTTAATGGATTCTTTCGTCGGCCTCGAACAAGTTAATCCGTCGAAATGAAGGGAAAAAGGAGGAAAGTAGAAGGGGCAAAACGTAGGGTAGAGAAAAGAAGTGCAATAGAGAAAGTGAGAGAAAGAAACGGCAGCAAGAGAGAAAAAGGGAGGGAAAGAATCGAGAGTCCGATGACGTCGAGGCATGACGAAAGTAGCTGGCCTTAATAAACCTGCCGGGGTAATTTACAGCGCTTGGCCCCGGCTCGACGGGGTGAAACTTCTTCAGAAAGTTAAGCCGCCACCGGCCGCGGACAATGGCGAACGGAAGCTCGCGTTACCAGAGGCATCCACTTTTTGTTAATGGAACCGCGGATATAAAAGTGGCCGGGGTCCACGTGCGCTTCGTTACGCGGTTTCTTCGATTAATTGTGTGTCTGGGGCTGAGAGGGGTGCATTTTTCTTCGTATTCACTCCAGGGGACGTTCAACGGATGAAAATTGTTGGAAGATGCACGAAGAAAAATAATTATGCTCGAGGGCGTGTACGAAGATTCGTTTTGTAATCTTCGAATGGCGGCGAAGTGTGTATGGAAATTCTACTGGAATCTGTATCGTGTTGATTATTACAGAATTTAGATGTACGTTGAATTATTAAAGATGGGAATTTTTATTAGCTGTGTGTGTGTTGGAGAATTTTTTTTATCGGTAAAATGTATTTTATGAGTTTCTATTGGAAAATTCTTACTTTGTAGAGTAAGTTTCGGTATTCTCATCACTTGATTCCTTTAAATAGATTATGAGAAGGTTGTACTTGTGGGGCTCGTTGGCAGGGACGTTGGGTCCAAGTCGAGTCGATATTCGAAGTAAAGATACACTCGTCCGCGACGTTAGATGGGATGGGTGACCGTTTTTTCTCTGGTTTGATAAATTAATTCGGGGCTTGAATTTCTCTCTGTGTCTAATCTGTTCTTTCCAAATTCTGAGGTCTCTCTCTCTCTTTCCAAATTCTAAGGTCTCTTCTCTCTACTATTCTTCCAAGTCTCTCAACGGTGGTGTCTATTCTTTCCAAAACTTCAAACGTTCTTCCGCAATACTCTGATACTACTCTCCATATTAATTCACTCACTTTCTTTCAGGATTTAGAATAAGGAAACAAATGTGTGTTGAAAAAATAAATCTCTGCTTCCTCGAAGAAATTATTATAGAACTAAATCTTAGCAATCTTCTTACTCTTTCGCTCTACCAATTACAATACAAAAATGACTACATATTAAATACTAACTTTCGATCTTCTCTCAATACCTCGCGTCACATTCATCGCTGCTCCAAGCTCAAAAATGAATCAAACTTATCCGTTTAATCCGGACCAAGCTCTCTCCGAGAAAGAGTCGCGAGGTCTCCGCAAAACAGGGACGACGAAGTTCGGCAATTACGCGAGTCACGGTAATCACCAGCACCCCTTCGTTCTGCAAGAAACTTATCGACCCCTGTGGCGTATAACTTCTCCACGGTAATTTCACGAATAAGAGAAAGGGAGGAGCAGAGGATTGCTCGATCGACAAGCCACGCCACGAAGAAAGGGTGGAGAACCAGGGAGCAAGTTTCGCGATAAAAACCACTCGAAAAGTTTTTACGCGACTCGAACGATGGCCGAACCGTTCGACCAGGCCGGAAGTGAAGGGGGTAGCTTGCTTGCATCGAACCGGGCCATCCTGCACGCTTTTCCCTCGCCCTTCTCGCTTCCTCTATGCATCGAGACTCTTCAACGAGCAGAGAGGAACGTTGTATCTGTCTTTATTGATGTAGATACTCCGGTTTTATCGTTTCAGATAGCGTATTATTTTTGTGATAACTGCAGCCGGGGGATTTTCAGTGTCTCTAACGTGTTGCGAGTAGAAAATTATTGCAGATTAATGTGTTACGTGGGTCTCTAAGAAAAGATTCGTTATTTTGTGAAATCTGAGAAAATTTGAAAATTGGGATATTTTGTGAATTTTCAAAATTTGCAAAGTTTGCATCCACCTTATATTAAATCTGCTTCCAATTTTTTGTGGAGCTGAAATTAATATTGCTGGGATCAGCGGCGCTTTATTTAATTTTGGGGTCTCTTAAATCACTGATGCAATGCACAGTGGTCTGAAATTTGTTATCTACATTCCTACAATAATTAAGTATTCTTCACTCTTCCATAGATTATCCATCATTCCATTATTTCTCGTTTATCTGAAAAACGACAGAAGTGAATCAGAACTAACAACTGCATTGTTACAACATTCCTGGGCGAGGAGCGAGAAAGGGAAGGGAAAGGTAGTTGAAACTGCAGGGATTGTTTAGAAAACGGAAGGAGAATTGGCCGGAGATAGGTCTGACGAGCGATTAGCCGTAGTCGGCGTTCGATGATCGCTTTTCTCTCGACGTTCGTCGACCGATGAAACGGAGTGAAAAGCGTCGAACGTGGAGAGAGTCGTGCGGTTTATTTTTACCTTTTCCTCTCTTTCTCTCTTCTTTTTGTTTTTCTTTTTCCGAAGCAGCTCCGGGGGCTGATTCAATTCTTCGTGATCGCGTTTGACGCTGTTGTCGAATCCCAGGTATCGCCTGTCAATGTTGAACGCTCGAAAGTGTTCGAACGACAAGTGTCTCTTCTGTTTCGCCAACGAATCTTCTGCCTTTTTTTCGCAATGCGCAGTCAGAATTCTTCGAAATTTCGCGGAATTTCTGTCACTATTAGCTGCTACGTGGACCATTCTCGTCTCGCAAATATGGATAAATTAGGAGAGGGTTAAGAATTGTGCAAAGTTGACACGAAAATTCCTAGAAATTTCTAACGCTCAGCAGCCTAAGCAGCCTAATACACTATACGAATATTTCCAACAATGAAATTCCCGTGTAACCCAATTTCTCCCGAATTTTAATCCGTCCACGGCGGAAAAAGCGTTTCTCGATAAATCAATGGATCTGGAGGCAAGGCGAAACAGGTCGCAAGGTTGAGTTTGCGCTGATCCCGCGTCCTCGAAGTGGATTCTCGCGAAAATATCCGGTCGCCCGTGAGAGCGTTGGCTGGTCTCCGGGTTGGACGCGTGTTTCCTACTTGGAAATATCGCGCTCGAAGCGGGCCATCGATCGTGTTTCAAAAGAGAGACAGCTCGAAAGCGTGGAACGTCGGCTAAAGGCTGCGCTTAGGTGTTCCAAGCCGAAGCCAGCCGGACCAGTCGACTTGCATACCACACCAGGTTCGCAGCCAGCCTCTACCTGCATTCCAACCTACCAGTCGACCTCATTCCGCCATTATACTATTTCATTCTCCTCTGGCCTTCTCTCTCGCTCTCTCTGTCTCTCCTTGCTCGTCGTCGTGTGTAAAAACGAAATTTCGAAGGACGTGGATTCGTCAGAGATAAAGTCATTTTTAGACAGCTTGGAGGCAGGTGGAGGGAATAGATTGTTCTTCGAATCGGAGATCTTTCGAGGAAAAATTGACACTCTTCGTGTGCTCTGACAGATTTATACGAACTATCTTTCTTGTTTTCTTCCGTTCTTTTTAGAGCTCAATGTTATTGTATTAAAATGAAATTAACACAATCAACCACTCTGTCCTATAATGTTCTTTAGGGAAATGTGTGATAAAGGTAAATTGGTAAGAATAGTTGTGAGAAATGTTCTATATTTATGTATGAACTAAGTGGAAGTTCAGGAGTTTCGTAGACTCTATGTCGGGCTTTACGTCCCAAAAACGGTGTCTCGACAGTAGAGGGTTAATGTCATAATAGGAATAATAGAAATTTTGTATGACGACGAACTTAGATGTTATCTTTTCGTGATATTTTTAAAATTTGACGTTAACCCTCTTGGTTCCATGGACCAATTTGGGACGATTAGATGCGCGAGTGAAGAACCTTGCCAGAGATATCGTTGGATGTAGAGAATTTCTAGCTAGTATGAAGATTTCGTCTAAATTTCTCTAAAAATCCAGCGATTAGAATTTTCTTAGTAAAGTATCTTCCACTTTCCATCGTGACATTTCTATTGCAACGATACACAAGAGACTTACAGCGGAAGCAAAAGGGTTAAAATCTTCTTCACTAGAGTCTAGAAATA